GTAATCATTCAAAACCATTGCTCCAGGCAAGAGGTAAGAGTTGAAACACCAGCATGCAGAATTACTTGTGGTGAATCGTTCTTTCGCATTTAAACCCCTGCATTAAAAAACCTTTGTCCAACGATGTCTAATTTTCAGTTTGGCCCTCACTTGTTATTTGTTTGTAGCAAATAAAAAAAAGCAAGAAAAGCAAGAAAAAAAATATATCAATAGTTTGGAGTATAGATGAACAATGCTGATTCCAATTAATCTGCGTACAGGTATTCCTCGATTTATGACCACAACTGAGTCCAGAATTTCTGTTGCTAAGTGAGTTTTGCCACATTTTACAATCTTTCTTGCCTTGGTTGTTAAGTGACTCTGGCTTTTCCATTGACTTTGAAGGTTGCAAAAGGTGATCAGATGACCCTGGGTCATAGGTGTGAAAAGTGGTCATTAGTCCCTTTTTTTAGTGCCATTGTAACAGCCACTAAATGAAAGATTGTCAGTCAAGGACTACCCATACTAGTACAGAAACTTGGAATATTTTATACTCCCTGTGTTATCGGCAGTGATCGATTGAATTAAACCTGAGTTCTAGTGGCTGCTTCACTTAATATTCAAGAGTCCAGTTCCATTACCACAAAATTAGGTCGCAAAGCAGTTTCCTATTGCTGGACAGCATTGTTAGCCATGTTTTTCTGTTGTCCAATTGAAATCATCTTCTTAGTAATTTAAACATGTGCCCAATGAACAGGAACAAGAAAGATGAATTTCAATAGGGTCAGAAGCAAGCATACTACAGTATAAGTTGAGTTAGTGATTGAAGGCTTCCCCGACAGCTTGTGTGAGAGCGCAGGTTGTGCGGCCTGAGTGAATTTTTTTTTTATACCACTACGATGCCTATGATCTCTTTTCTATATTTAATCAAATTCGTTCTGCCTACTCTTGACTTTCATTTCAGGCAGAACTACGAGGACAAAAGTTCCTCTTTCTGATTTCTGGAAGAGTTACTGGAAAACATTAATCTGTATTTGGTGTGAAATAGTTCTTGGTAGGCATGTTTTCTGAGTCAGATTGCTTTTTTTTTTACCTTACCTCAGCAAAATTTAGACATTCCTGTTAGCTATTTGGTAACTTTTCTATAGAAAAAGAGTAATTAAAACAACCCATTGCTTAATCAAGAGTTTTCTAGTGCTGTACCTCTGTGGCTATAGTGGTTGGCCAGCTCATCTGACAGATGTGTATTATTCTCAGAAACTGAAGGAATGGGAAAAAGGGCTGGCTGATGTTGCTTAGATTAAAAAGCTGTCTTAAAACAAATAGGGCAGATTTGATTATTGAAATGCAACTTCAGCTTTAGCAGGAGTGGTTAGTTAAGACCAGGGGTCTTCAAACTTGGTCCTTTTATGACTTGTGGACTTTCAACTCCCAGAATTCTTGCCTGGCTGAGGAATTCTGGGAGTTGGAAGTCCACAAGTCATAAAAGGACCAAGTTTGAAGACCCCTGGTTAAGACCATCTACTTTTTCTTTCTTTTGACTTACTAGCTAGGCTTTCTTGAAGCAGATTTTCATCCTAAGTGTTCGCTTTAAACAGATAATTTAGGATACATCTTGAGTGCAGTCAATAATATTAATGAGAAAAGCTTTTGATAGTTTAGAGGGATGTTTTTATTTCAGGTCTAAAAGATAAATTGCGGCTTGGATTTTCCTTTATGGGTCCAGAGTAACCTCAGAGAATTATTCAGGCAATAGCACTTAGATTTAAATACCGCTTCCTAGTGCTTTACAGCCCCTCTCTAGGCAGTTTACAGAGTCAGCATATTGACCCCAGCAATCTGGGTCCTCATTTTACCTACCTCGGAAGGAAGGAAGGAAGGCTGAGTCAACCTTGAGCCTATGAGGATCGAACTCCAGGCTGTGGACAGAATTAGCCCGCAATACTGCAACTTAACCACTGCACCACGTTGGCTCTTTAATTGCCTTTGGCTCCCTGTGCTCCACAGTTCCTGACACCCTAGCTCAGGGCTTTTCAACCTTTTCACCCATTGTACCACTTTTAGGATATGGCAACATCCAAGTACCACCAGTCGCCTAGCAAGGTGTCAAAAACTTGATGACAAAAAAAAAAAAGGGATAAAGTACAGATAGTCCTCGACTTACAACAGTTCGCTTAGTGGCTGTTCGAAGTTACAATGGCACTGAAAAAAGTGCCCCCCAAGCCACAGCCGAGCAAGACACCTGCCTGCCCGCCCGCCCAGCGGCGCTCTTCCTCCTGTCCGAGGTTTTCATTGTTGTGAGCATTTCTGTTGAGGATTGGCAGTGGGGGTGGGGTGGGGGTGTTTGGTTTTTATTCCCCCCATCTGCTGGGTGGTTGCAGCAGGTTTTGGTCCCTTCACATGACCCTGGGACACTGTGACCGTCATAAATATGAATCAGTTGCCAGGTATCTGAATGTAAATCACAAGACCCTGGAGACGCTGCAACATTCCAGCTGACCGGTGCTTCTTCAGGGCTCAGCAGAAGCGCCAGGATCAGCGCCGAGCTCCAGCTGGATCCTGGCGCTGATCCTGGGGCTTCCGCTGAGCCCTGACAGCCCTGCAGCTCCAGCCGTCTCTCGCTCAGACTTGTGCGGTGCTGCCACTGGTTCAGCTCATTCCCTTCCCCCACTACCACTTTTCTAGGATGGTCACGTACCACCTGCCAGGTGCCAATGTACCACAGGTGGTACCCGTATCACTGGTTGAAAAGCCCCGGCCTAGATGATCTTTGGGATCTTTTTTCTCCTTGCTGACCAGGCATCCCTGGCCTGGGCCTTTGTGAGGCAGTTGCTGGCAGCACAAGTCTTTCTTCCCCAGGATGTACTCAGCGGTTTCCTTGCAGATTTCCTGGCATGATACTGGGGAAGCCAGCATTATGTGGCCAGCATGAAAGCAGGATGGGGAGGGGCAATTAAACTTGAACTGAGCAGGGGCAGCTGTGCCTTCCCTGGGCAGAAGAGGTCCTTTTGTGTCCTGCTGCTGGGCTGGGACTGCTTTGTGTTGCACTGTGGCTTGGGGGGGGGGGTTCCTTGCAGCCCCAGAGTTGTTTTGTGGCCCCCTTGCTCTTGCACATACGCGTGCACCCTCTTCTCCTAGGCCAGTGTTTCTCAACCTTGACCATTTTAAGGCATGTGGACTTCAACTCCCAGAATTCCACAGCCAGCATTCGCTGGCTGTGGAATTCTGGGAATTGAAGTCCACATGCCTTAAAATTGTCAAGGTTGAGAAACACTGGCCCTAGGCTTTTGCTGCATTGCGTGACAACTGAACTCACACTGAGGTCATAAGTCAAGGATTGCTTTATACTCATCCCAGTTAGGAATCAGTTCATGCTTTCTCAAAGATTAACTTTCTAATTCAAATGGTTCCAACAACCTACGAAGACAAAGAATGACAAAGAAAAAATAACATTTCATTCAATCAGATAGACTAGACCAGGGGTAGGCAACCTCGGCTCTTTTATGACTCATGGACTTCAACTCCCAGAATTCCTGACTCAGGAATTCTGGGAGTCGAAGTCCATGAGTCACAAAAGAGCCGAGGTTGCCTACCCCTGGACTAGACTAAGGTTCAACTTTAGGAATGACAAAAGTCATTTTGGATTTTCTGTGCCTAATGATATACTATTAAACTAATTGTTTGCCTTGGATTATGTTGCTATGTGGCTGGGGAGGGGCTCCCCAAAAGCTTATTTAAATATCTTTGATCTGTTACCAGTTGAAGTTTCCAGTGCATTTTAATTAAATAATAGAGTATTAAAAGTATGGAACAAAGATGGAAAAAAAAGCCCAGACTAATTGCTTCTTGCCTGAATATTAAATATTTTCATAAATGCAGTCATGGCAAGAAATGATTCCTGGAGAAATATTCACTAATAAACTGCAAATTTAACCTTTAATGAATAAAGAGAAATCTTTTGAGACTTTCTCCGTGGAACGATCAAAAATACTATATTGATTTTAATTCCTACAGATACCTGGCTGGGCGGGTCTGTCACTGCTGCTGCGAGGTGGGACCGTGGAAAAGACATCCCCCCCAAAATAAGACCTGGTGCCTCTTTTGGAGCCCCCCCCCCCCAATAATTAAAAATTAAGTCCAGGTCTTATTTTTCGGGGAAACACGGTACATAGAATTAGTTCCAAAGATTTACAGAAGTAAGGTGGAATACTTAGAAACTTGACCAAATTTGAAATAATTACAATACAAAATACAGACTGTTGTTAGAGTGTAGATATAATACTGAAATATGATTTGGAAATTGGCAAATCAAAGATTGTATAATTGATGCAATATCTAAGTCAAACAATATGCGAGAACTATAACATTCGTTCAAGTTAAATAACGCACCTATTGCTAATGTAATCAGATTGGATTATTCTGTCTTATCTTAATAATAATAATAATAGTAGTAGTAGTAATAAAGTTGGAAGGGACCTTGGAGGTCATCTAGTCCAACCCCCTGCTCAGGCAGGAAACCTATACCATTTCGGACAAATGGCTGTCCAGTCTCTTCTTAAAAACTTCCAGTGTTGGAGCATTCACCGCTTCTGGAGGGAGGTTGTTCCACTGGTTAATTGTTCTAACTGTCAGGAAGTTTCTCCTTAGTTCTAGGTTGCTTCTCTCCTTGGTGAGTTTCCACCCGTTGCTTCTTGTCCTGTTTGTTGCTCTTCTCTGCACTCTAGAATTTCTAGAGTCTCAACATCATATCTGATTAGGTCTGCTTGGGAGATATGTTCAGCACAAGCTAATCCTGAGAAGAATGGGGATGTGCAATGCTCATGACTTACCTGTTCCTTGCCAGAGATAACAGAGAAGCTTGTTGTAGCAAGTAGACTTGTGAACTCTGATGTGTTCCTTGCATATTACAGTTGATGAGGCAACTAAAGATTGGTTTGCTGAGAAGCCAATTGGTAAATTGCCTGCCTCTACTGATTCTTTTCAACAATAACCATAACATTCTCTCCTATAACTGTAGGTTGGATATAAGCACCATGGGAGAAGAAGACTAAAAATTCATCATGATTGGAGGCCTGTTCATTTATAATCATAAGGGAGAGGTTTTAATCTCCCGGGTCTACAGGGACGACATTGGGTAAGTCAGAGTCTTCATGCTGCATTACTTTTGAATCCTGGTACAACTTCTTGCAACATTTGAGCTGCTGCTGCTGCTGCTGTACGTTTTGTGCATGTGGAACTTGTGTATTGTGTGTTGCATCCAGGCTGTGTTCACTTTGATGTCTCATGGTATGTGTTACCTTACATTATTCCCAGGCACTTAACAATGAAAAATAGGCATTGATTGAAGCAACTCTTCTTATATGTTGAATGTAATATATTTTTGTTCTTGAAATACAATCTTTATTCCATAGTTTTAAATATACTATTTATGTCAAATCTAGAGAAAGAAATAATAAGTTTAGTAAATTTTTTCAAGATGCACTTTAACTGAACCCTTTTTCTTTCTTTCTATCTTTCTCTTGTGTTATTTCTTTTACCTAAGTTTTTCAAAACTACATTGTTATAGTTGCATAAGAAAGAGGAATTTGGGAAGATTGTTGGTTAAAGGTTATAATTTGAAAGAATTTGAAAGGCATCATTTAAAAAGATATATATATATATCTTGTGTACTTCCTTAATAGCTGTGAGTGGTCTACAAAGAAATGATAGAAACAATATTAAAAACCTGCCAAATATAAAACTAAAAAGAATATATTAAAAGGTCCAGCTACATAAGTATATTTTAATCCCACTTGTAAGTTGTAATACTTTTTTCCATCATATGGGCCCCACCAGCCTTTTCCAACAAAGACAGAATGTTGAGTCATTATGTTCAATAGAGACGAAACAAAGTATATTGTTTTGTATCTTGTTTATTTAATTTGAATTTCTTCATTAGTTGAATTTAGTTGCTGCTCAGATTATGTTGCAGAATTAGAGATAATTTTAAAACTTTAGAAAGGCTTAAGTGATCAGCATATAGTAATATTGTGTGGCGTTGTGGAATTTTGTCGAAAATCAGAGTTCAGTATTTTGTCTAAGCATTTGAGGGTAATATCCTGCATAACACTGAATGGTACATACTCTGAGAAATAAGGCAGGAATGATATCAGTTCACAAAGATAGTTAAGTAAGTATAGCATCATCAAATTAGGCAGGCTGTAGGCATATTACAAAACTTACACATGATAATATAAAATCAGTGTAATAATTAAGATAGTATTACCTTTATAAGTAGATGTAAGCTTCAACGCTAGCCACGTTATCCTTATTGCCTACAAAATGAAAGTGATCTTGATTTATGTAACTAAATACTAAAACACGTCTATTTGATTGTAATCTTTAATTGTGCAAAACTGCATCGTAGGGCAACAATTTTTGAATCAATATACCTGAAATGGTATAGATTATGTGCAAAATCCAGAACATTGAATGTTGACCTTATACCCTATGTAAGAAAGACAGAATATAAAATTATACTGTATATTCAAATCTTTTCTGATTCAAAGAATGGTGTTAAAAGATATACAGAAAATGTATTTTGTTTGTGATCAGATGCTTGTTGGTTTCTCAAGATTATCACAATACAGACTAATAGTTTTGATTGCTGAAAGATTGTACCTATGTGGACTCCTTGTGCTTATAGCTTGGTTGTTTACTTGCAGACATTTCAATACCTGACTTGGTAACATCTTTAGTGCTAGAAGAGAATGGGGTCTGCTTTCTGTATATTTGTGGCTTCTATATGTTGGTTGGACACTGTATTTCTTTGTCACAGTTTTTTTGGTCACCCAGTGAATGAGAAGACTGTCAGCTTCAGAGGTTTTTCCCCTGTCCTGTGGGTCTTTCACACAATTCAGATTGCCTCTTGCATTCTTTTAAAACTGTATTTCTCTATTTTACAATCCCAATTACAACACAGTGGGGGTATAATACCTTCCTTTTTAAATACGCTTTTAAAATTTGGTTTGAAGCAGTGTTTATATAGCTATTACAGGTGTCAGGAAGCAGTTAGACTCGGGCTGTGACCTTAATCTGACGGAACTTAACAAAGTTCTGTTAAATATTTTCGTAACAGAATTCTCTTCCCGATTAAGAGAAAAATACACGATAGCATACATTGAATCCTTGATGGGTAAATTCATACCTCGAAGGATTTTTCTGAATTGTCAGATTTGTTCGTTTATTTATCAAATTTATATGCCGCTCGTCTCACTGTGCGAGGAGACGTTTCTAAAGAAGGATAATTACGTTAAGCTCCAAGCCAATCTTGAAATCTGATAACTCTTCGTTGTTGTCCCTTTGGGTTCCTAGTTATCTGAGATCAGGCTGGAGATGATTACAACAACAAAATAAACAAAATGATTGCCAGGAGTTGTACTGCCCTATCGATCAAAAGCTATTTCAGATGTTGTGTCATTCCGCATCATAAGATAAAGAGAATGATATGGATTCGTGCTTAATCTATAATCACACAGCCTGGTTGTTCCATACTGTACAATTCATCTACCGGCTTGCCTTTTCTTAAAGAGCTTTTTTGCTTTTCTGCCTAGCCCAGCTTTTCTTTACCTGGTCTCCTTCCAATATCTTAAAATACGCATAAATTCCACTGAGCATGTTGATTGAGCAGCGGTCATATTGATTGTGAATTAGAAGTATGGGGCAGGGAAAGCTGGCCTAGGGAATGTAAATAGTGCCTTGAAATCTTTTTGTGGGAGGGGGTTTCTGTCTGTTGTCTCTTCTCCTTTTGGTTTGATTCATTGTGCTTTGTGTGTATGTGTGTGTTCTAACTTTTCTCTTGTTGCTGTCACTCCTTTTCTTCGCTGACGCCATTTCTGTTCATCCCATCTCATTGGCCGCTGTAGTAATAGGTAAGAGAAGAATGGCAGGAACTCAACACGGGGCACCTGGTGTATAAAGTCAAGCTCACTTTCATAGCATCGTTGACATTAAGGCAACGTCAAATCAAAAACATGACAACGTGAAGTTTGGCTCATGTCAGAGCAGACCAATTATTATCTTTTATCATTTAAGAGACTGGAGCCTACAGATTCTTAGACCGTTAGAAACTGGAGACTTCCCCTTTCTGAAAATGTTTGGTATTTGAGCAGTTAGAAGAAAAGGAGATAAAATGTATAGAAAATTCATTCAATAGCAATAATCTCAAATCAAATATCTATTAAAAGTTAACTTTCTCAGAAGTCTAAAGAAGTCCAGATGATTGCTATGCTAATCTTTAAACTTGACATGAATAATGGATTTGGGTTTGATTCCTCTGGAAATTAATCCACGGCCCTGGCAATGTTAATCGGTATATTTTTGCATCATTATTACAAAGAGGTCTCAGTCTGTTGATATAAATATTAAATAATATATGATGCTGGGCGCCTGAGTGAGAAATGGCTGTCTTGAACTTCAAAGCGTGAAATGATAAATGGAAGACATCAACGTGTTCTTGAAGGCAGAACTGATACTTGATCAGTGCTTTTACTGTGATTGAAAACATTCAATGAATTTTCTCGGCTTTTCCCTTATAATGACCCACATGTGCTTAATAAAATATTTCCTCTGAATAAAGGTATCTTTATTCTTTTAAGCAACTGATTCCTCTGTTAAGTAAGTATTGATTAGAGCAGTGATGGCGAACCTTTTAGAGACCGAGTGCCCAAACTGCAACCCAAAACCCACTTATGCATCGTCGAGTGCCGGGTGGGTGTGGCCCGTTGGGTGGGTGTGGCCCACTGGGTGGGCGTGGCTGCGGTGGTAACGGCAGACTGGGTGGGACTAAAAAGTTCAATCAATTCCAACTTTGCGAGATCTTTTTTTTCCCCGCGAGAAGTTGAAATTGACTGATTGATTGAACCTTTTTTTTTTTTTGCACATGGCGACGGAGGCCTAAAGCGAAAAGGTTTTATAAACCCAGCTGAAGGCCTAGGACTGGGGCGACGACGCGCGTGCCCACAGAGAGGGCTCTGAGTGCCGCCTCTGGCACCCGTGCCATAGGTTCGCCACCACTGGATTAGAGTAATAATAGCTTGTGGTATTTTACAGTATGCAGTTTGTATAGATAGTACTTGTTGATATGAAAAGCGGACCCTGCAACTGCAGGAAAACACTAGGATGAAGAATAACAGTTGTAGCTTCTTCCATCTTAATATGTCTTTTTAAACTTCATTCTATGTCTTAGCATAGTTATTTTGAAATAACATACAGTTCAGGTTTATTATTGTGATACCCAGCTGTTTTATCTTCTTCTCAACCTTAACACCCATTTTATTTATAAATTCCGTTTGATCTTCTATTTTTGTTAACATTTTCATTTTCTGTTTATTAATCTTGAAATCTCCTTATGCACCAAATTAATTTAATTTCCCATTAATATTTCAGTTCCCATTAAAGGATCTTCCAGAATCAACACCAAGTCATCTGCAAAAGCTTTTAACTTAATAAATTTCTTTTAAAGTCATTAATACCACAATCCTCTCATTTTGTTATTTCTATTGAGTATTTCAAGAACCAAAATAAAGAAGAGAGGAGACAGTGGCCATCTCTGTCTTGTTTCTTTTTGTATTTCGCAGGGTTTTGTTAGATCTCCATTAACAATGATTTGTCCTTTCTGTGAAGTGTAAATCGATCTTACCATTTTATAAAGCTGTCTCCAAAATTCTTATTTTCCAAAACCTTGAAGAAGAAAGCCCAAGTCAAATCGTTAAAGGCTTTCTCTGCATCTCAGACCAATGCGGCTTATTTTTCATTATGTTTCCTCAAATATTCCAGAATGTCCAACACATTCCTAACATTGTCCTTCAACTGTCTTTTAGGTAAAAACCCACATTGATCTTCATGAATAATTTTTTGCTGAATTGTTTTCAGTGTACCAACTAGAATCGTGCACAATTTATAGTCATTATTCAATGATGACATCATGCTATAGTCTCTTGTTAAAGTCAAGTCTTGTCTCTCTTTAGGTATATTGCTATATTAACCTAATTCTCTGGCATCTTTCCTCCTCGTAGGATAGACTTCAGTGTGTTTTGTAAAGGTTGTAAAAGTTTATCCTCAAAACATTTATTATAATGACCTGTTAGCGCACCGGGTCTAGGCAGCTCTCCTAGTTTAATATTTTTATAGCTTCAGAAACTTCCCTTATTGTTACAAATCTGTTTATAATCTGTCTCTGCTCCTCTACAATCCTCAGTCAATTGAGTTTCTTTAGATACTAATATATATTTTCTCTAGAGAGTTGTCATTTCCTTTATACAAGTTGGAATAATATTGATAAAATGCTTTTGGGTAAGGCCACATTGTCCAGTAATATAATATCTCCTTCGTGTGAATTCAATATTATGTTCTCTTTTTTTTGTAATTTATATTCCAGCCATTCCTGATTTGTTTGCAAACTAAAATTTTTATTTATTTTACGTGATTTATTTATTTTTATAATTCATTATTCTTAGTGGTTTGGTCATCTCACTCCTGTCTTCCTACCATGTCCTGATTCTCCAGGCGGAATGCAGTGGATGCTTTCCGAGTCAATGTCATCCATGCACGACAGCAAGTCCGTTCGCCGGTCACCAACATCGCTCGCACCAGCTTCTTCCATGTCAAACGTTCCAATATCTGGCTGGCTGCCGTCACCAAGCAAAATGTCAATGCTGCGATGGTCTTTGAGTTCCTCTACAAAATGTGTGATGTGATGACTGCCTATTTTGGAAAAATCAGCGAAGAGAACATCAAGAACAACTTCGTGCTTATCTATGAGCTTCTGGATGGTAAGGACGAGTCGGTTCAGTCCCTCCTCTGGGAACGCGTGTCCTTCAAGCCCAGCCCTGTAAACCTAAGGATGCTCTTATTGCATACAGCACATAAATTTGATTCTGGGCGAACACATTTAAGCTATGCTTCCTGCGAGGCTGCTAGACTCTGTGCAGTTTGGTTTGCATTTAGTTTTTAAATGTGAAAAGCAAGTTAATGACGGGGGCAAAGAAAGAGCTAAATGTACTCCGAGGGAAGAATTATTTCTTCTCTGTAAATATTTTACTTCTGCAATGTACATTAGTGAATTATGGACATAGTTGAGATAAGAAGGTTGACCCGTAGCAAAATGAAGGTGATGGTATAGGAAAGCTAGCTCTTGGTTAAAAATTGTCAGTGTTCTGTAAATCCCTTTCTGTAGAACTGAATAACAGACTGAAGGTTACAGGGGAGTGATTCTCCATGACAGTGAATGTCACACAAGCACCTCTAACGTTGTGTCCACAGTTATGCTCAAATGGCAAGTTAACACGATGTTGTGCCCATACAAGTAGTCCTTATTTATTTATTTTATTTATATTTAAATTTATATGCCGCCCTTCTCCCCATGGGACTCAGGGCGGCTCACAGCATATTAAAACATTGTACAAAAANTTTTTTTCCCCTGCTAAAAACCAATTAAAATCCAAATATTGGTAGCTGTGGCTCTTTAAAATTGTTTAAAAATTGTCCCTATTTAAAACTCACCTTAGGTCAGGCCCGCTTGTTGACTTACTACCGCAATTGAGCCCGTCACCATTTGTTAAGTGAATGTTGCCCCCTTTTATGACTTTTCTTGCTACCGTTGTTAAGTGAATCACTGCAGTTGTGAAGTTAGCAACAGGGTTGTTAAGTGAATCTGGCTTCACCCTTGACTTTGCTTGTCAGAAGGTCGCAAAAGGGGATCACAAATCTACAAATAAATAAATAAATCACGTGACACCGGAGCACTTCAACCGTCATAAATAGGAACCAGTCGCCCAGCGTCTGAATTTTGATCATGTGACCATTGAGATGATGTAATGGTTGTAAGTGTGAAAAACGGTCAAAAGTCACTTTTTTCCAGTGCCGTTGTAACTTCGAACAGTCATTAAATGAACTGTTGTAAGTTGAGGACCACCTGAAGTTTGGTAATTGTATCTATATCGTGAGGGAGGAACACGGTTATGACTCTCGCCAGATGTTAAACTGGAACTGGAATTCCCCCTGTGCTGATTAGAATTGGGAAGCTGCAGTTGAGGAACATCTGGAAGACATCTGTTTTCTTAACCTTAATCTGTAATACAAACAACTGTTTTGATTCTTAATGCTTGCCTTTCTTTGAGCCAAAGAATGCTGTTCTTCGGAGTCACTGAACTTTTTTTTTTTTTTAACCATGTTATCAACAGATAATGGTTTCCAAGATTGATCCCCTGGGTGAGTTGGGATTCAAAAACTGCTTTTCAGGTTACGGTATTTAAAAGCCTTTTGGGGCAGGAGAAGAAGCAGGATGACGGTGGATTTGCCGATTGCCACAAGCTGAACAAAATCAGCACAAGCACAGTGTTGTTTTCTGTTTGTGTTGCAGGTCTGGATCTTGAGAGCCTGGTCTCTCTCCTCTTGGAAGGAGGCAGTTAATGGCACTTCTCTCTTTCCAGAGCTTAACTTGTCTGTGTGTGTGCCACGATATCTGCTACTCTGCTGTTGTTTTTTTAGGTTTTGATTTTTATGCCATGCTCATGTGAAAATCAAAATCTAAAGAAAATGCTGCAAAGATAGATTATTCTGCTGCTGTTGAATTATCCGGCTTCAGAGCGGGTTTCCTTCGATGTTGTGATTCTGCTGTCTTTATGGAGTTTGTCATCTGGTTTTAACTGTTGCTACCTGTAGGCCAGCCTGATCACGCCTTAACGGGAATCGGCGTGACAACATGTGGTGTGGAGAAACTTTCCTTGAGTAGTGTTTACCAGTCATTTGCACAAAGGGGGGGGGTGTCAGTTGTTAAAAACTAGCCCAGCTGTTGGTTTTCTCCAACAATTGTTTACTTTTCTGTAGAAATCCTGGACTTTGGTTACCCTCAGAACTCTGAAACAGGAGCCCTGAAAACATTCATCACCCAACAAGGAATCAAGAGCCAGGTAAATGCAGGTTGATACATGTTTTAATTAATTTTTAGTGTTTAAAAAAATAGCAATCGCCACTATATTCTATGACAGGGGGAGGCAACCCAAAACACTCAAAGAGCCACTTGGACCCGTTTCCCACTGAAAACAAAACACTCTGTCTGTCTGTCTCTGTCTCTCCTCTCCCCCCCTTCTCTCTCTCTCTCTCTCTCTCTCTCTCTCTCTCTCTCTCTCTCTCTCTCTTTCCCCCCCTCTCTCCCCCCCCTCTCCTTTTCTCCGATCTTTTCACCTGGCAAGCTGGCTTCAAGCTGTTCTCCAACAAGCTCAGGAGTAGGCAACCTCGGCTCTTTTATGACTCATGGACTTCAACTCCCAGAATTCCTGAGTCAGAATAGCTGGGCTAGCTAGCTCTCCTGCCCTTCCTGCTTCCTGTTTCCTGCTTCCTGCAGAGACACAGCAAAGGGAGGAGCCCCGCCCAGTAAGCTTTTCAGCTCCTTGGAGAACACTGTGACTCCACTCTCTTTTTTACACACACACACACACACACGCACACAGAGAGAGAGAGAGACAGACAGACAGACAGACAGAGAGGGAGAGAGAGAGAGAGAGAGAGAGAGAAGGGAAGCGCAAGTGCCTCTCTCTGTCTCTGTCTCTCTCTGCAAATGGCAGAGGAAGCTGGGAGCCGCAGGGGAAGGCTCAAAGAGCCACAGGTTGCTGACCTATGTTCTATGACAACATCTTTGGGATACACAGTATAGTTGAATATTTCAGTTACGATCACTCTGGCAACATTTCAAATTCAGAACTCTTCCTGTTGTGGGAATCTGATTCCTTTTTTTAGAGATTTTTTTTTTCGTGAAAAACCTCGGACATAAAGGCTGTAATTCTCTGTAATTGGTCTGAACATTTTATCTTTGTAGATTCTAGAATAAGTTACCTACATGCAGACCCCAAATTCTTATTTATTCAGCCTTGGCAACTTTTTAAGACTTGTGGACCTCGACTCCCAGAATTCTCCAACCAGCATGGGAGTTGAAGTCCACAACTCTTAAAAGTTGCCAAAGTTGCACACCCTGGTTTAACCCTTGGATAATAAAACTTTACATACACAAAAAATGCAACATCAATTTCAAATGGACCTTTTTTGAGTCTCTTATTTGTAAAGGGGTAAATAAATACAGGTAGTCCTTGATTTACACCACGATTGAGCCCAAAATTTATGTTGCTAAATGAAACACTTGCTAAGTGGGGTTTGCCATGTTTTTTTATGACTTTTCTTGCCACCGTTGTTAAGCGAATCACTGCAGTTGTTAAGTTGGTAACACGGTTGTTAAGTGAATCTGGCTTCCCCATTGACTGTGCTTGTCAGGAGGTGGCATAAGGGGATCATGTGACCCCGGGACTCTGCAACCGTCGTAAAGATGCACCAGTTGCAAAGCTTCCAGTTTCGATCAACCGACCACGGGGATGCGGCAACGGTCGCAAGCGTGAAAAATGGGCATAAATCACATTTTTCAGTGCTGTTTGTAACTTCGAACAGTCACTAAACGAACCGTTGAAAGCTGAGGACTACCTGTAAAAACAGGGAGAAACAAAACTCTTTCCTGGGCTTCTTGGATTCTGACATTTTTTATCAGGCTGTCCTCACTGATGTTCTCCAGAGAGCGCAGGGCTCCTCTACTAGCCATGCTGGCTGAGGAATTCTGGGAGTTGAAGTCCACAAGTCATAAAGGGGCCATAATTCCCCACCCCTGACTTAGCAGATCTCTCCCTCAGTCTTGTTGGGTCTTCAGTTGTGGACTCCTCCTCCACCTATTCTTGATGCATAGCAATATCTCCAGATGATGCTATATCAGGGATCTTCAAACTTGGCCCTTTTATGACTTGCGGACTTCAACTCCCAGAATTCCTCAGCCAGGCACGTGTGCCTGGCTGAGGAATTCTGGGAGTTGAAGTCCGCAAGTCATAAAAGGGCCAAGTTTGAAGACCCTTGTGCTATATCATAATTCCAGCGCTAGCCAATAAACCATTGCTTAATGCTTCTGCCTTTTATGTCGTTCAGCTGTAAGGTGCTGGGACTGCATCCAGCTGTTAATCAAGTGTGAAGCTTTTTAATATCTCTATATATCAGTGAGTCTGGTTTTAGTTAAACCTCCTTTAACTTAAGACTGGTACTTGTGCTCTCATGCTCATCGGCAACTCACCAACCTACCACAGTGTGACATGCTTCAGAAACATTTCTTCCTAAAATGCTTTTTTAAAAATGTTTCAACCCTTTTTTAAAAAACGTTCTTTTTAAAATGGGAATCTTCTAACAAACAATGCCGCTCATCAATAGTTTCGCACAGATAATTTAGATGTTTCTGCTCAGTTCCTGCTCATTTCCTGTAAAACTCCCGTTTTGTTTTCTCTCTGATATTATTGCAGACTGCTTCCTGCTTTCCTCCCCCCCCCCTACTAAGAAAAACAGGAAAGGGTGTCATCCTTTTATCACAGTTAAGCTTGCTAAGCCAGAGAAATGATTTTCCCCTTAGTAAGCTTTCTATTTAGGTTGTGTCTTACTTTGATTGTTTAGTAAGTGAAGAGACCGTGCTTTTCCGAAGCATTTGATAAAGCGAGTTAACGTATCTCGTGGGCCAAAATTTGCTTTGATTGCCAAGAGCTGTTTTAGCAGCATAGGAATGAAGAATTATGACAATAAAATAATAATAATAATAATAATAATAATAATAATAATAATAATAATAATAATAATAATAATAATAATAATAATAATAATAATANATTTGCCTGTAAGCAAGAACTGGTGGGATCATAAAATAGAGAAAGTCATAGAAAATGATAAAGTTAAACTGCTCTGGGACTTCAGAATTCAAACAGACAAGCACCTGCAACATAACACCCTGGACTTAACAATTGTCGATAAGAAAGACAAAAAAGTCTGGATAGTGGACGTGGCAGTGCCTGGAGACAGCAGAATAGACGAGAAAGAACTGGAGAAGATAACAAAATACAAAGAAGTACGAATAGAAATAGAAAGACTGTGGCAAAAGCAAGCAAGGGTAGTATCAATAGTAATAGGCGCCTTGGGTGCCATCCCAAAACAACTGGAGCACCACTTGAACACTATCAGCATTGACAAATTCGCCATTAATCAATTGCAAAAGGCGGCCTTACTAGGAACGGCTTTCATCCTGCGACGATATCTGTAATACCATCAAACATCCACATCTGCCTATCCCAGGTCCTGGGTAAGGACTCGATAGGTAGACAAAATGCCAAATCCAGTCTGAACATCTGGCTGACTGTGATGATCAATAATAATAATAATAATAATAATAATAATAATAATAATAATAATAATAATAATAATAATAATAATAATAATAATAGTAATAATAAAGTTGGAAGGGACCTTGGAGGTCATCACGTCCAACCTCCTGCTCAGGCAGGAAACCCTATACCATTTCGGACAAATGGCTGTCCAACACTTCGTGTTGGAGCATTCACCGCTTCTGGAGGCAGGTTGTTCCACTGGTTAATTGTTCTAACTGTCAGGAAGTTTCTCCTTAGTTCTAGATTGCTTCTCTCCTTGATTAGTTTCCATCCGTTGCTTCTTGTCCTGCCTTCAGGCGCTTTGGAGAATAGCTTGACTCCCTCTTCTTTGGGGCAGCCCCTGAGATATTGGAACATTGCTATCATGTCCCCCCTCGTCCTTCTCTTCGTTAAACTAGACATACCCAATTCCAGCAGCCTTTCCTTATATGCTTTAAGCCTCCAGTCCCCTAATCATCTTTGTTGCTCTTCTCTGTACTCTCTCTAGAGTCTCAATATCTTTTTTACATTGTGATGACCAAAACTGGATGCCGTATTCCAAGTGTGGCCTTACCAAGGCATTCTAAAGTGGTATTAACACTTCACGTGATCTTGATTCTATTCTGCTTGTCATGAAAATCTTTGAGTTTCTTACAGGCAGATGTATCTTACAAGCCTAAATGTTTATAAGCAAGTGTTTCTTACAAGCCGAAATATAGAATAAGCACATGCCTGACGATGGAACAGGTTGGTCTTCCAGCTCTGTGATTTTGAAGAAAAAAGGGATGGCTAGCTTGGCGGTTTTAAAAGCCAGCGATGTTCTTGTCACACTTTTAATTCAGTTGTTCAAGATCTGAAGATTCATCTTAAAAGGCGACCCCCCCCTTTTTTTTTTTACCGAACTAATACAATAGAAACATTGATTTAAAGGACTTAAAAAAAACATTGCATACCAAGAAAAAACAGTGTCCTTTTTTCTTCTGGGCTCAAACCGTTCCAGGAAACCACGGGAAAGATTGGAGCCCTTGGCCATCTGCCCAGCTTTTTGTACGAACAGGAAACGGGGCTTTCACCACAACGTCTCGAATCTTGTCTCAAATAGGGTGGAACGATTGCCAGAAAACCGAGCCAGCTGTTTACTTCCTGTAGAGCAGGGGTAGTCCACTTTGGCTCTTTTATGACTCGTGGACTTCAACTCCCAGAATTCCTGAGCCAGCTAAGCTGGCTCAGGAATTCTGGGAATTGAAGTCCACGAGTCATAAAATAGCCAAGGTGGACTACCCCTGCTGTAGAGTCTTCTTAGCAGGCCCTGAAAGAAATCTATTGCCTGCTTGCGGAGAACAAGCAGGGAGTTTGTCTATTTTCAGGCTTCAGTTGTGACTTGAGAAAAGCTGTAAAGAAAGATATTTTCACCAACCAGGACAGATGTGTGAAATAAACCAGTACCATGTTTCCCCGAAAGTAAGACCTGCCCCCCAAAATAAGCCCTAGCTTGATTTTTTTTGGGGGGTGGGCCTAATATAAGCCCTACCCCCCCAAAATAAATCCTAGTTTTGGGGCGAGGTGTAGACCTAAAAATCAAGCTGGGGTAGGGGGGGTTGAGCTTCCCCACGCGCCCCACAGCCGCTTGCCATTGCAGCCAGGCCTCCCATGAATTGACGCCTGCCTCGCCTCGCCAGCCCACTTCCAGAAGGCCTCTGACGGCAAAATGCAGGCCAGGAGGGGGCGCCACGTGCTTCAATCCGGAGCTCCATTCTCAGCTGCAGAAGCAACGGATGGAAACTCATCCAGGAGAGAAGCAACCTAGAACTAAGGAGAAACTTCCTGACAGTGAGAACAATTAACCAGTAGAACAACCTGCCTCCAGAAGCGGTGAATGCTCCAACACTGGAAGTTTTTAAGAAGAGACCGGACAGCCATTTGCCTGAAATCATATAGGGTTTCCTACCTGAGCAGGGGGTTGGACTAGATGATCGCCAAGGACCCTTCCAACTTTATTATTATTATTATTATTTCTTTCGGCTGCAGAAGAAGTGGGCCGGCTGGGTGGGACTGTTGGTGCCGCTGCTGTGAGGTGAGATGGTGGAAAAGACACCCCGTCGTCCCCCCCCCCCAAAAATAATATCTAGTGCCTCTTTTGGAGGCAAAAAAAAAAAAAGAACCAGGTCTTATTTTCGGGAAAACATGGTATGATAGACAAAATCAATAGATGATTGCTTAGTGTCAGACTAGGATGGATGAACTCATTCACCTATTTCAATAGGTGACCTCAGGTAGGACTGAGTCACAGAGCGCTCTCTTACAGGATTAATATGAGGAAACTGTACTGTGTCCAGCTCCATGCAGAAATCTGGGATGGGTGGATACCTACATATAATGTTAGTCCTACTAAATCCTGAACTTAGCTTCAGTATAAAGACTAAGATACACCACGTCAGTTATACTAAGTATAAAGAAAGAACCAGACAATTAGCTCTTCTCTCAACGTACTGATCAGGGGAACGAGATTGGCTTGATACATTGTGTGAATCCACTCAGTGATTTAATCAAACTACAGTTCAGCAGCGGCTTGAGACACGAGAATGCTTCAAAAATGCAGAATTCACACGTGGAGATTTAACGTGCAGTATTTAATGCAAAACCCCAGTTATCAAGGCAACAAGGTGAATGAAGTGGCAGGTGATAAGTAATTGGGAAGGTATAGTCTGGCATGGGGGGAGGAAGGGTAAGAAAAACAGCCTACAAAGGCACCGGGGCTGATAATTTCTACTGATGTGTGCGAACTCCATGCTGTCAACTCACTTCCCATCTGACTGGTACCCACGTCTGTTTATCTAGATATTTGCAAAACAGATGCCTCAAGGGAGAGGCAGAGCCTTGTTCTACTTTTAACATTTTTGGCCTCGCCTGGGTTCCTGAGATGTTGGCTATGCTGCTAGTTGCAAAGATCCTGCAGGGTTGCTTTCCCTGTTTCTTATGTCCCCATTTTCCTCCTTCCAAGATTATTAATAGCGTAAAGGAGTAATGTCATCAGTAATCTCAGTTTCTCCCCAATCTAACATTACTCTCTTCCTCTTTCTCTTCTACTGACCTGCTTCCTCCTAACCTTGTGTGTGCTGCCTTTGCTGCTGCTATTCACCTGTTTTCTCGCTTTCCGCGTCTGGTTGGACCCACCTATAGCACCAGGTAGGAGAATCTGCTGTCCTTCCCCAAAGCTAAATCCAGCAGATCCCTCCAAAGGGCATTGGATACCAGACTCAAAATTCCGAAATAGGGTTCCAACTGGGCTTCTTCTAGCCGCTGGCCGTTTGGCACACGAATAACTTTTATTTTTCTCTGGGAGCAAAGAGAAAAAGGCAGAGATTCTTCTTCTAATATAATGGTGGTATTTAAACAGCATTCCTAATTCGAGCTATTCCAGGTTGGGGAAAAGGTTGTGTGCGTGGGGGGGGGGGAGTTTGGGTTTTGTAATAAACCTGTTGCAGTTCATTTGGATCCCTGTACGATTGATCCCATGAAAGCACAGCTCCCTCTTTCTCCCCCCTCCTCCAGACTAAGGAAGAACAATCTCAAATTACCAGCCAGGTAACTGGCCAGATCGGCTGGAGGCGCGAAGGGATCAAATACCGTCGCAATGAACTCTTCCTTGATGTTCTGGAGAGCGTGAACTTGCTAATGTCGCCGCAAGGTAAGTCGGTCCTATGAAATCACGTCAGCCAGAATCGAGCTGGAAGGGACCTTGGAGGTCTTCTAGTCCAACCCCCAGCTCAAGCAGGAGACCCTATCCCAGGGGAAGGCAACTTTGGCTCTTTTATGACTCGTGGACTTCAACTCCCAGAATTCCTGAGCCAGCATGGATCAGCTTGGAAACCTTTCCCTTTCCCCTCAGCATGGCTGGCTCAGGAATTCTGGGAGTTGAAGTCCACCAGTCATGAAAGAGCCAAGGTTGCCTACCCTTGTCCTATCCAATTGAGACAAGTGGCTGTCTGGTCTCTTCTTAAAAGCCTCCAGTGATGGAGCGCCCACAGCTTCTGAAGGCCACTTCTGTTCCGCTGGTTAATCATTCTTGCTCTTAGGAAGTTTCTCGAAAAGCAAGGCTAGCCATTTTCTTCCCGTGCCACTCTTCTGCTCTCCGACGCTTGCCTTTCCTTCCTTCCAGGCCAGGTGCTGAGCGCCCACGTCTCGGGCAGAGTGGTGATGAAAAGCTACCTAAGTGGAATGCCTGAATGTAAGTTTGGCATGAACGACAAGATTGTAATTGAGAAACAAGGCAAGGGGACCGCGGACGAAACAGGGAAAAGGTAAGTGGGAATGAACAGGGAGATCAGCTTTCAAGGGTTGTGTTGCTCTCAGTTACATCTCTGCTCTTCCCTTCTCATTTGGGAAGGTGCCAGAGCTTTCCTAAGGTGATTTTGGTTGCTCCCCTCCCTCCCTCGTTAAAGCAGGAGCTAAATGAGCAGGCTGCGTAAACGTCTGTTGTGGTTTGAAGGTGCAGAGGTCTCCAAGGAAACTTAAATTCTGGTCCTAGTCCAGGAATTAGTTCATGCACTTATACCATTCTCTTAATCTATATTTTCAGATAAACTGTTGAGGCTGGTAAATGAATATACCCAGCATCATTCTGCATTTCATAGGCCGGCCCTAATTAGGATACGAGAGTCTGTAAATGTCCTGCTTTAAAGGAGACCGTTAGGATTGGTATACCCAGAGGTCTTCCGTGCTGCCTCTTTATCAACTTCTGACACTGAATTCTCTTTTTTTTTTCTTTTGTGTTCTGCTGACTCCAGTGAAACAGGAAGGTAGATAATCTGCTTACCGCTGTGTGCACGTATTCCTCACATTACACACCCCCTCCCCCCGCCCTTTTTGCTTTTTGTGTGATTTGTGCATGCACCGCCATCTTTAGACACTTCCACACAGGTCGTGTCTGTGGTTGAAGGCTGAGCTGCCGTGTGCTTGTTCAGAAACAAACAAAGACGACTCAGGTGTTGCTGTCTCATCAGGTTGACCCGGGAGCTTGCTTGAGTGACTTGGGCAAGATTTCGTAAGGCTGGAAGTAGGGATAGTTTTTCCTAATTGAGCCAGGAGTTGGTTTCTTGGATTAACTGAGGAACAACATAGCAGAGGGAGCTGATGTAGAAGCAAGATAGTGTAACTGGAAAGCTTGGGTCTTTGTAGCGCCCAGTTAGGGTGATGGCAGTAGCAGAACCAATTCCTTTTGAGGTGTGAAAGAGGTTCTCCAGAATTCCAAGATGCTTTAACCGTGAATGGCAAAATTAACCATTTGAGTCAAGACGGCGTGGTGGCTGCTGGTTTTTGCTGAATTTTATTTTCATGGCCTCGAAATATCAACGTTTTATAACTGTAGTTCATTCAGTAGACCTCGAACTTACAGGCACTCATTTAGTGACCATTCAGAGTTAACAGCAGAACTGAAAAAAAGTGACTTAGGACCGTTTTTCACATTCCACGACCTCTGCAGCATTTCCCCCCGGTCACGTGATCAAAATTCAGACGCTTGGCAATTGGCTCATATTTATGTCCCAGGGTCACGTGATCCCCTTTTGCGACCTTCTGCCAAGCAAAAGCCAGAGTCACTTAACAACAGTGTTACTCACTTAACAACTGCAGTGATGCACGTAACAACTGCGGCAAGAAAAGTCGTAAAACGGGGCAAAAACTCACTTAGCAACAGATAATGCCAGACTCGTTTGTGTGGTCGTTAAGTAGTCGAAGGCTACCTGTAACCGGAGCAGCAACCTTGAACGTTAATTTAGGAGAGAGTAATAAAGACGTGCTCCTTGGAAGATGCAAAACTTAAAAAGTTGTCCAAGTGGAACACCTCTTTCCATTTATATTTTTTTGAGAAAACTATTCAGACAGCATCCTCTGAAGCAGGTCTGAGCGGCATCCCCTGCAATCCGAGCTGTATGTGTGAAGCATACATCCTGTGCCCATCCTGTGTCTTGAGCCTTCGCTCTCTGTCCCGAAGTGCAGCTGGCATTCTGCCCTCGAATGACTTGGCTGGCTAAGTCGTTTGGCTTGCTCCCACCCCAGCCCTTTTGCTTTCTGCAAATTTTGCAGTGAGATGTTGTCGATGTCGGACGGTCTCTGAAGTTTTTCCTTGAGCAGGTGCTGCAGAAGATTCCTCCATCTGCAGGGGAGGGATATTTTTTTTTAGTTAACCTGCTTGGGCAAAAAAAAAAAAAAAGAATGGCTTCTCCTAAAGGGAATCTTATGCCCCTTTTGCCCTTGCTGAAACTGGAAGACAAAGCCTCATTTTTTTTTGCTTTCCTTTTGAATGTTGTGCTAAGCCTTAACGCGGCTTATTTCATTTTGAGTCCGTCTCGGTTACGAACCCTATGATTACGATGCTTTGTGAACTCTTGATTTATGGCGTAGTCCGTCTGACGTCAGCCAGCGTGGCCTATTCGTCAGATTACATTTTAAAACGATGATGAGTTAATACACAGTTATACCCAAGGCCGAAACCTATCACTCCCACTCCAAGTATGCTTTAAGGGCAGGCCTGTTTGAACAAGTCTGATGGGGCTGCAGTTCCTCAGCTGGATTGGCGTGGGCAAACATGGGTCCAGCCAGATAAGTTTTTGCTTGAATCTTGCTGGTGATTCCAGAACTCCCAGAAAGACTGTCCTTATTCAGAATACTTCTGTGACTTAGCCTTAATATGTGAGACAAGGTTCTCTGTCTAGAGCAGGGCTCTTCAAACTTGGCCCTTTTATGACTTGTGGACTTCAACTCCCGGAATTCCTCAGCCAGGCACGCGTGCCTGGCTGAGGAATTCCGGGAGTTGAAGTCCACAAGTCATAAAAGGGCCAGGTTTGAAGAGCCCTGGTCTTAACTAACCACTCCTGCTAAAGCTGAAGTTGCGTTTCAGTAATCAAAAATCAGGCTGCCCTATTTGTTTGAAGACAGCTTTTCAATCTAAGCAACATCAGCCAGCCCCTTTCCCCCATTCCTTCAGTGTTTGAGAATAATACACATCTGGTCTAAGAGTTTGCAGGGGAGAGGGTGAATGCCGCTTGCCGTAGCCTTCGCACTGATTTTGATCCTTCTGCTTCTGTGTCCTAGTGGGAAGCAGTCCATTGCCATTGACGACTGCACTTTTCACCAGTGTGTGAGACTCAGCAAGTTTGACTCGGAGAGGAGTATCAGCTTCATCCCACCCGACGGAGAGTTTGAGCTCATGAGGTGAGGCTGCTGGGAAGAACTGTTCTGTGTCCATGGCTCTGGAGGGTGGCCGCTCTGCAGTCGGTTCTTTACTGAATCCTGCATGGCTTCTTGTCAAAGAAAAATAAAAGAGCCAAGACATTTGCCAATACGAACGAAAGACGACCAACTGGAAGTCCTCCTAACATGTTGTTGTTAGCCGCGAAGTCGTGTCCGACCCATCGCGACCCCATGGACAACGTTCCTCCAGGCCTTCCTGTCCTCTACCATCTTCTGGAGTCCATTGAAGCTCACGCCTCCTGCTTCAGTGACTCCATCCAGCCACCTCCTTCTCTGTCGTCCCCTTCTTCTATTGCCCTCAATCTTTCCCAGCATTAGGCTCTTCTCCAGGGAGTCCTTCCTTCTCATTAGGTGGCCAAAGTACTTGAGTTTCAATTTCAGGATCTGGCCTTCAAAAGAGCAGTCGGGGTTGATCTCCTCCAGGACTGACCGGTTGGATCGCCTTGCAGTCCAGGGGACTCGCAGGAGTCTTCTCCAGCACCAAAGTTCAAAGGCCTCCATTCTTTGGCTCTCAGCCTTTCTTATGGTCCCACATTCACAGCCATACAAAGCTCTAGGACTGTACATGCTCCTGAGTCTGCTATTTTTATTTTATTTTAATATATTTTTATTTTTATCACTTCCAGGGCCCCTCCTAGCTGTGATTACCCTTGAGCATTAGATTCACAGGCCCAGGAGTAATTTCTAGTAGAACTTTCAATCACGTGTGTCCCAAACGTGCCTCTTTCAAATACGGGTTAGGTATTTCCAGTCAGAATTTTGAAATGTGCCTCGTAATTAGGCCAGTGAAACTGTTTATCGAGAAAGGTGCTTGTTATCTTAACTATACCTGTGCCAACCTGGTTTGGCTACCGCCAGTTTGGATAGCCAGGTTTAGGGGTAGTGTAAGGTGTATACTCACCTTTAGATACAACTGGCTCTTCAAGAAATATAGTACAGCGTAGTGATGTCAGTATTAGAGGGCAAACAAATTATATACATAAAATCTGTGCTGGAAAAAAGGTAAAACCTTTGGGCAAGGGTCTTCAGACTTGGCCCTTTTATGACTTGTGGACTTCAACTCCCAGAATTCCTCATCCAGGCACGCGTGCCTGGATGAGGAATTCTGGGAGTTGAAGTCCACAAGTCATAAAAGGGCCAGGTTTGAAGACCCCCTGCCATTGGGACTGTGATGCTCCCTTCTCAGCATCATAATGCAAGTATCAGGAATGATGTATCGGGATGCTGAGAAATTATTACTACTTGATAAGATAGAAAAATGTGGGTTAGACAGCATCACCACCAGATGGATCCGTAGTTGGCTGACCGGCCGAACTCAGCGTGTGGTCCTCAATGGAATCGCATCTACATGGAGGGAAGTGTGTAGTAGGGTGCCCCAGGGCTCTGTTCTGCCCAGAGTTCTTCAACATCTTCATCAACGATTTGGACGAGGGGATAGATGGGGAACTCATCAAATTTACAGACGACACCAAGGTGGCTGGAATCTAAGAAACCGTCCCAAATCTTGAAATCTTCCAAACTCAAAAATATCTCTCCTATCCTGGGATGTGGGGAGGCCGAGTGTTGCTGGTGCAACGGTCCACTTTCCTTGTATTGTTTTAATCATTGTTACCCCATGCCAGGTGTATTGTATAGTGGAAGATAAAGGAACTGTGGGTAGGCATCTCTTAGAAGTGATCTTAAACATTATTTAAAATGGCATACTTTTCCACATCTTAAGCAAGATCTGGGAGCATCATCTGCCAGTTTACATAAACACTAAAATATAGATCAAGAATTCTACTACCAAGAGTTCTACTATAGAAACCTAACCGTGAAAGTGCTGTTAAGGATTCAAGCAATGGATATTGCAAATATTGACACAGGCAAAGAAAATGGAATGTTCATATTGAATATTCAGACTTTTAATTATGTTGTTGTTGTTAGTTGTGAAGTCGTGTCCGACCCCTCGCGACCCCATGGGCAACGTTCCTCTAGGCCTTCCTGTCCTCTCCCATCTTCTGGAATCCATTGAAGCTCACGCCTGCTGCTTCAGGGACTCCATCCAGCCACCTCATCCTCTGTCGTCCCCTTCTTCTCTTGCCCTCCTTTTAATTATAGACGTGCCCATAACAAATCCCAAATGTGCTATGAAGAGCAGGCAAGCACAAATCAACGGTTGCAGCTGTTCTATTCGCTTTATTTTACGACTTCTTTGGTTTTCCATCTCACAGTGGTGAGTCTGGGATATGCAGAATGGTTAAAACAAAACACAAAAACACGACATACGTCCTCCAGCATGGGAGGATGAAGCAGCAGCCCCATTCACGGCGAAGCACGTCAGCAACAGCCGAGCTTCGTTAACTTCCTGACTCCAATGCTTGGGCAGCAGCCAGATCTTGATGCCTTGCGAAAGGCGAATAGGATTGGGGCCATCTGGCTCTCTGGGGGAAATGCTGGTTCAGAGGGCAGGCACTGCCACTGAACAACTGCAGCTTTGGGGTGCATGCCCTGTCCGTTGGATCTGGAGGGGTACATACAGGCAATGGGAGAAATAGCCTGGCTGTATAACCAGTACTTTGAATCCTACCCCGCAGCTTAACCTGGGCCTTAACCTAATTTCTACCCGGGAGCCAGTCCAGTAATGAGAAATGCCAAACTGCCTGTACTGTTGCATTAAGAGCTTATAGCTTCTGAATGCTCTTCAAGGGCACCCCTACGTGCAGTGCGTTGCAGCAGTCCAAATGGGAGGTGGTTAAAGTGTGACCCTCCGTGAGCAAGGCCTGCCCATCCAGGAATGGGCATAATCGGCTCAGGATCAGTGGTATTGAAAGCCTCTGAGTGATGGAGGAGGGGCAAGATGGATGCACTGTCCCCACTGCGGACCTGCTGGAACTCACCGATGACCACAATCGGTGCCATCTCAGTACTATAACCAGGCCTGGCATAAAACATGCTGATAGTCCACTTCTTCTAGGAGCTGCAAGCCAATCAAAGTCTCAGAAATCTTCCCCCGAACGGCTAGGTTGAAGATTGTCTCGATCCATTAGATCCAGCAGTGGTCTCTTGAGGAGTTATGTGAAGGTTTATAGGATAAGTATCTTTTTCAGTTTAGCTAAGAGTTAAAGAAATGGTTGAAAAAATAGGACTGAAATAATCCGTGAGACTAAAGTGCTAGTAAGTTTCAGATAGGTCAGTGATGGCAAACCTTTTAGAGACCGAGTGCCCAAACTGCAACCCAAAACCCACTTATGCATCGTCGGGTGCTGGGTGGGTGTGGCCCATTGGGTGGGCGTGGCTGCGGTGGTAATGGCAGACTGGGTGGGACTAAAAAGTTCAATCAATCAATTCCAACTTTGCAAGATCTTTTTTTTTCGTGAGAAGTTGAAATTGACTGATTGAACCTTTTTTTTTTCCCCACATGGTGGCGGAGGCCTAAAGTGAAAAGGTTTTATAAAACCCAGCTGAAGGCCTAGGACTGGGGCAACGGCGCGTGTGCCCACAGAGAGGGCTCTGAGTGCCACCTCGCACCTGTGCCATAGGTTCGCCACCACTGAGATAGGTTTTCAATTACGAGTATTTGCCGGGTGTATGGGCAGTGACAGGTTCCTCTCTTCCATTCTGTAAGTGTTGTTTATTATTTTCCACCAGGTACCGAACCACTAAGGACATTATCTTGCCGTTCCGTGTCATCCCCCTGGTACGTGAGGTGGGGCGCACCAAACTGGAGGTGAAGGTGGTGATCAAATCTAACTTTAAGCCTTCCCTCTTGGCTCAGAAGATAGAGGTAAGCGGTCCTACCATAAGCACCATCCTTTTTGTCTTGCTGCACGTTCGTTGCCTTTGCTTCATTTTGATAAAAAGTTTTTTTAAACCCATTTTGTGTACTTACAAATGAGCTTAAAACTATGATGTTGGAAATGTTATTGGGCAAGTTGTAAATCTCAGCAATATTGGGAAAATATTGGCATTGCGGAATGGAACAAATTCTGAAAGTTCTAATCTTAAAAACCTGATATATTTTTTACCAAATTTCATTGAACTATCTATCCTTTCAAAATGGATTGAATTGATATCCTCCAGGTCAATGTTGGCGAGGATTTTATATGCCTTTTATTGTAAAAGATCCGATGTTCCCTCTTGAGAAGAATGACTAAATTCTGAGAGTATGTCTTGGCATCTAGTATAACCTTGCATTTAAAAAGTAAATCTGATGTCGAATTTAGTTTTAACTGGAAACCATTTTTGAACTAAAATCTTATACCCAGAATCACGGCACATCCAAAACTGGGTCTTTAGAGATTAGTTCTTAACCTGATGTATAATTTATATTTAATGCTTTATTGACCAGTTATGGTGTTTACTGGAATTTCATTATTAAATGAAAGCTCAACAGTGACCTGAGGATTTTGATTAGAAAGTAGATATGAAATACTTTTCAACAATGTGAACTTCTGATGATAGAGCACATTTGTGCTATGATATTTAAAATGTGTTACTTTTACACCTAAGATTTCCCCACCTGCACCAGATTTGCCTATCTGTGCCATCTTTTTTACAACCTTAAAATACATTAAAAAAAATCAATAGGACAAAAAGAAAGGGAAGCGACAACAGAACATTGAGCTTCAGTGATAATGGTGATTAAGAGCAGTCCTACTTGTTGAGTTTTGGGCACTTAATAAAAGCCTTGAGAAGCATAAATGGGAAGAATTTCAGGCAAGGAGTGCTGTAGCCAGGTTAAGGGCAATCTTAACTGAGCTCCATATGGGGAATGTGGTCTCATCAGTGGGAAGAGAGGAAAGAATTAGTGATGGTGAAGTCTTGGGAAAGCAGGGAGTGAAGTTCAAGGGTGGAGGAATAAGGAGGAACAAAACAGAAGTGTAGCGCAACAGTAAAAGACATAGAAACACAGAATTTCTGTAATATTTTAGGTTTAAAGACAATGCAACGGTGCTTGTAAATGAAACCAGCAGGGCCCTCCACGTTCTGAGCTTTTGATTATCGAATTGTGATCATCATTTTTAAGGGATTATTCGTACTCCTTTCTGTTTGTACAGGTGGTCCTCAACTTACAACTGTAATGTGAGCCCAGAATTAGGAGCCAATCGTTAAGCAAATCACCACCTGACTGGGCCCAATTTTATGATCCTTTTTCTGACAGTCATTAAATGAGGTGGTCCCTAAGTAAAGCCATTTTAGTCAGTGGGCATTTTTTTTTTTTGCCAGAAACCAAAAGTAAACATAGGTGTAGTTGTAAATTTTTGTTGGGACTTTTGTTGGCAGGGTGATGTCTCTGCTTTTTAGTATGCTGTCTAGATTTGCCATAGCTTTCCTCCCCAGGAGCAAGCGTCTTTTAATTTCTTGGCTGCAGTCCCCATCTGAGGTGATCTTGGAGCCCAGGAAAATAAAATCTGTCACTACCTCCATTTCTTCCCCATCTATGTGCCAGGAATTGAGAGGGCCAGATGCCATGATTTGGCTATACGCCAACAAAAGTGTATATAGTCAAGGCCATGGTTTTCCCAGTTGCAATGTATGGCTGTGAAAGTTGGACCATAAGAAAGGCTGAGCGCCAAAGAATGGAGGCCTTTAAACTATGGTACTAGAGAAGACTCCTGCGAGTCCCCTGGACTGCAAGGTGATCAAACCGGTCAGTCCTAGAGGAGGTCAACTCTGACTGCTCTTTAGAAGGCCAGATCCTGAAGTGGAAACTCAAGTCCTTTGGCCACCTAATGAGCAGGAAGGACTCCCTGGAGAAGAGCCTGATGCTGGGAAAGATTGAGGGCAAGAGAAGAAGGGGACGCCAGAGAATGAGGTGGCTGGATGGAGTCACTGAAGCAGTAGGCGTGAACTTAAATGGACTCCAGAAGATGGTAGAGGACAGGAAGGCCTGGAGGAACGTTGTCCATGGGGTCGCGATGGGTCGGATACGACTTCGCAATTAACAACAACAACAAGTTGTAAATTGTAGCCACATTATGACTGCGGGACACTGCAAACAACTGTAAACGTGGGCTGGCTTCCAAGTGTCCAAAATGCAATCATGTGATCTGGGGGGGTTGGCGTAAGCGACTGTCAGAACGTCGAAACTCTGTTGTATATAGTTCTGGGGAACTCCATTGTAACTTCAAGCCTAAGCGATGGATGGGTTGTAAGTGGAGTGCGATCCTCCCCAAATGATTTTCTTGCTCTTTTTTTGGGTGTGCATTTTTGCTTTTAAGCTACCTTCTCTTCCTTTACAAAAACAAAACAAGCAGCCCAATGCGATTCAAATAAATATATCTTCCAGGTGCGAATCCCGACTCCTCTCAATACTAGTGGTGTACAAGTCATCTGCATGAAAGGAAAGGCAAAATACAAGGCCAGCGAGAATGCCATTGTCTGGAAGTAAGTGACACCGTTTCTGAATCGGGAAGCTGGAGCGGTTGCTGGCACTGGGGGGGGGGAGTTGTGCTTCCCTCTAGGCCAGGGGATCTCCACCCTTTGGCCACTTTTAAGGCTTGCGTACTTCAGCTCCCAGAATTCCCCAGCAGCATGGCTGGCTACGGGAATTCCGGGAATTAAAAACCACGAGTCTGAAAGTTACCAAGTTTGAAAAGCCCTGCTCTTAAGTTGAGCCAGAGGGAGTGTGCTTAGGATACCTGTGCCTATCTTAAAACGACAATTTCTTTTTTTTTCCAATGTTATAGAATCAAAAGGATGGCTGGAATGAAAGAGTCTCAGATCAGCGCAGAGATAGAACTGCTTCCAACCAACGACAAGAAAAAATGGGCCCGGCCACCCATCTCTATGAACTTTGAGGTAAGCAGCCGCGTTCTTCCTAAGAGCTTGCCAGGAACAGGAGATATGGTATAGAAACATCTGGGGGGCCTTGAGCAGCCCCATCTTCTGGCCTCTTGGGGGTACCGAGGCACCTGCCAAACATCTCCTTCCCAGGGCTTTGTAAAACGTATCCCATCTCTTCCCTGGAGTCCTCGGCAAATGTACAGGCAGTCCTCAAAAAAATCCAAACCTTTGCAACGTCATCTCTTTAGTCGGTTACTGATTTCCAGAGTCGTGTTTTCTTGCCTTGTGGCCCCCTCAAATGAAAGGATTGATGAAAACCTAGGCTTCAATGAGGGAAGATTACGAGATAATTTTTGTTCGTGCATAGGAGGGAAGTTTAGTTTGCCTCGTGCGTTTGTGTAAAGGGCACCTTCAAAACGGAGGTTCGGCTATGGAGTCTCTTTCAGGGAAAGTAACTGGAATCTCGTTTTAGCCAACAACCTAGAGCAGTGGTGGCGAACCTATGGCACGCGTGCCAGAGACGGCACTCAGAGCCCTCTCTGTGGGCACGCCCGCCATGCTCCGGAAATGGCAACCGTCCCTCTTCAACCAGCCTCCCGCTAACTGGCCGAGGTCCCACATGGCTGGATGCATCCCAGCACCCATGTGCTCGCTGGCCTCTGTGTGCAGGGGCCGACGGTGTCAGGCAGCAGCCACCCCGGCCCCTGCCTTGCCTTGCCCTGTGACAATGACACCCCTGCCCTGCCTCGCCTTGCCTCGCCTCACCCCCCCAGGACGAGCCTCCTGCCCATCGCCCCACCTGCCAGAGACCCCCTGGATCTCCCCCAACCCTGCCCGGCCCCCACAGATGTCCCTCCCCACGAGCAACATTGAGGTGATCATGCTCATCTTGGCCACACCCACCCAATCTGCCATGACCACCACAGCCACGCTCATCCAGTGGGCCACGCCCACCCGGCACCCGGCGATAAATAAGTGGGTTTTGGGTTGCAGTTTGGGCACTCGGCCTCTAAAAGGTTCGCCATCACTGAGCTAGAGGTACTCATAAACTGGGGTCTCTTTTTCTTCCCTACTTTTGTGCTCCGCTCAAGAAATCCTTTGTGTCTCAAATTAGGCCGGTTATCGGCAGCCCCAGTAAGTCTCGCCTTGACTTAACGGAAGATTCGGAAGGGGGCGAGCTTTGGAAAGGTCTCTCCGTAAGACGCTCACTTTCCCATCCTTGTATTTCCCGTCCTTTGTCCAGGTTCCCTTTGCGCCTTCCGGGCTGAAGGTGCGCTACCTGAAAGTCTTTGAGCCAAAGCTGAACTACAGTGACCACGATGTGATCAAATGGGTGAGATACATCGGCAGGAGCGGGATCTACGAGACAAGATGCTAGCCCTGTGCAGCTCTCTCTCTCTCACCCGTTGGTCTCGACATTCAAGAGCATTTCACTGGCCCATCCTCCATCCAGTGGCTGGAAGCTGGAAACCTGCAGCTGCTCTTTGGGGAGGGGGGAAAAAGGGGGGGGGGGACACCGGCACCTGTTTTGTTTCAGTTACTGTTGGAGAAGCAGCTGACATCAGGTGGTTTGAGAGCCTGGCTCCTGTCTTGCTTCTGTCCCCAGGATGTAAAAGGGCCAGTCTTAATACCCCCCCCCCTTGTGGTCATTTTAGGGAACATCCACCATGTGATGACCCCCCCCCCCTTCTGTTTGTCACTACTTGCATTATATCCTAGTATTTTTGGAAACCCTCGTGCATATGTATCAGTAGAATAGACCAAGACATCATCGACTGGACAACCCTTGAATTAATTCTGGCTCCTATACTTGGCTCTTACTGTTGTAATTGTTGTTGTGCGGCAAAGGTGGGAGTATTCCTCGTTGCTTTCTCCGACAGCTTGGAGGGAGGGTTTGTGACCAAAATGTCTGGAGGGTTGTTATCATGGACGGTGAGGATAGCAAAGAATTTCGCAGCCTCCCAAGGGCAAGTTCCTTGGAGCGCTGGTGGTAGCTGACAAAGCCAGGACCTTTTCTCTCTTAAACACAATCCCTACCCCTTCCCCTCGCCCCTCCCCTCCCCCAAATCTGGCACATAACCGAGGAGAGACTGATTTGATCAGTAATATCCAAAGGATTTGTCCTTTGATTAAGAATTGGCCAGCCATCTTTCCGCCTCTTCCTTTCCTCCTCCCATCTTTCTTTTGCCCAAACGGCTCATGCTTTCTTCTACTAAAAGCTTTTGAGTCAATGGAAAATGCTGCTGCAATCCACAGTCCTCTGCTTCAGGTAGTGTGGTCTCCCATTTTGTACACGTGTGATTGTCCAGTTATAAATATAATAAAAGTATATAGAACCAACAGTTTTTGTGAGCTCTTAATGCAGGGGTGACAAACTCAATTTCATTGAGGGCCGCATCAGCATTGCGGTTGCCCTCGGGGTGTGCGGCCAGGGTGGGTGTGGCCTACTGGGTGGGCTTGGATGGAGTGGATGTGGCCTACTGGGTGGGCGTGGCCAGCTCTACATCGTTCGCGTCAAGGGTGCCTGTGGGGGCCTGGGCAGGAGTCGGGCAGATCTGAGGGTCTCTGACAGAAGGGAGTGGGACCGGGGCAAGTGCCAAGGCATGGTCCACTGGAGGAGCCTCACTGCCTGCTGAAACCCCTCCGCCGGAGCCCATCAAGCCAGATATGTGAAGTAGGCGAGGGCCATTTGCTGGCCACTTCCAGGTGATGGTGCATTTCTTCATTCCTCACAAAGGGTGACACCTCCCCAGCAGGCACCCAGGGGGCGGGGGTGACACGGCAGAGGCTGGTTCCTCGCTGGTTCCAGACGGCCTTGAGCTAGGACTGAATGCGTTTCAGCATAGATGGCCACCACAAAATTGTACATTGGCTCCCGGCCGGCCAGGGCCAAGGCAGCGGGGGCCGTTCCCTCACTGTTTCCAGGATGGCTTCGCGGGCCACATGAAACCACTTCGCGGGCCGCAACTGGCCCCCAGGCCTTGTGTTTGACATGTCTGTCTTAATGGGTACGTGCTGGGCCCAGAGGCCTCGCCCGGGCTGCTGTCTCCATTCCAGGGAACAGGCCGTAACAATTCATTGTACATCCAAGTTGCACTGTTGGTAGCCTGCAATTAACAATCAAATTCTGCTGCTTGGTCTTGAGGTACTGTAGCAGTGGCCTAAGATTGGGCAGGCGAAGAATTGGTTAGGAATACCCCCATTGTCTGCCGGATGTAAACACCAAAGCCGTCACACAATTTTGCATATACCAAGTGGAAGTAGACTAAAATTTAATCTTCTGCTAACAAAACCTGTGTGGCCTATTGGTTGTGGCAGAGACTGCTGGGACATTCTAAAGCAGGCCATTGGTTTATGGACTCCAATCAGTTGCAAGAATGTGCAAAACTACCTGTTAACGTTCCTGGAATAATCCAGTGTTCAGATTTTTCTCTTTGAAAACGCTGATCTGGCGCATTTTTGTGTTAATTACTCCTTGGGAATTATTCCTTTCAACTCCTGAAAAGATGACTTGGCCACTGATAAATGAATTGCGGGAGAGTAAAATGAGCATTCTGGGAAAACCAGATGAGCCAGGGGGGGTCTCTCTCCAGTGCGAGCCACATTCAGTGGTGGTTCAGGGTACCCAGAAAGACGTTCAATAAGCCAGATGGAGTCTCCTCCAGCTTGAGACCCTCCCAGTTAGTTGCTCGGAGATGTGAAGAGATAGTCAAGTGAACCAGATAGTCTCCTTCAGTGTGCTGTGAGCTGGAGACCCGTTCTAGTGTGATTTACTCTAGTGAGCAAGTACAGGTCAGTCCTTGCTTAAGGAACACCATCGGGGACCAGCAATTTTGTCACTAAGGAAAGCGGTTCCTGTCTTTGCCTCGGTTCTTCCAAGGTACGGAAGTGCCTCCTCTTCAACTCCTTCCACCCATCTCTGCTCTTTCGGCCGCTTTGCACAGTGGTATTCCTTGGCAACGGTGACAGTGCTAGGACTGAGGCAGAGGCCCAGGGCCTCCAGTCTGCCCTGAGCATCTACTTCAGCACGAAAGATTTGTAATGATAAAAAAATAATAAAATCTCTTTTTTAAAGAAAGATGTTGAAACTCTAGAAAGAGTGTGGAGAAGAACAACAAAGATGATTAGGGGGCTGGAGGCTTAAACACATGAAGAATGGTTGCAGGAATTGGGTCTGTCTAGTTAGTAGGGGGGGAAAAAAGGACCAGGAGTGACATGATAGTGTTCCAATATGTGAGGGGCTGCCACAAACAAGGGGGTCAAGCTATTCTCCAAAGCACCTGAAGGCAGAACAAGAAGCAACGGATGGAAACTAATCAAGGAGAGAAGCAACCTAAAACTAAGGAGGAATTTCCTCACAACAATCAGCGGAACAACCTGCCTCCAGAAGTTGTGGGTGCTCCATTGGAGGTTTTGAAGAAGACATTGGACAACCATTTGCCTGAAATGGTATAGGGCAGTGATGGCGAACCTTTTAGAGACCAAGTGCCCCCAAACCGCCCCCCCCATCCCTACTCCGTCTCCTGCCCTGCCTGCTCCGCCCCCGCCCACCCCCTGCCCCACCCGCCCGCAGGGGCACGCACTGCCTCCATGGCCCACAACAGATTGCCCAGGCAGCCTTGCAGCGCCATGGCAGCCACGCCCTCTGCCCACACCCCGCAGCAGCATCTGCACGCTATGGGGCATAAGGGCAGAGTCTTGACCCTGCTGCCCGGCTATGTCCTTGGCTGCGCTGGTCCGTGCAGGCTGTGCCCAGGGGCGACTCTCCTGCAGGGGGAGGCAGGGCTGGGGCAATAGCACGTGTGCCCAGAGAGAGGGCTCCGAGTGCCGCCTCTGGCACCCGTGCCATAGGTTCACCACCACTGGTATAGGGTCTCCTCCTTGAGCAAGGGGTTAGACTAGAAGACCTCCAAGGTCCCTTCCAACTCTGTTATCTTAGTTTCATCTTGGATACAATATTTCAATGAAAATTGTCCCCTGATGGTCCCTTCCAGTTCTTCTTTTTCTGACTGGTTGTAAATCGGCTTTTTCAATGCCATTGTAACTGAACAGTTGCTGAACGAATGGATATGAAGGGAGGGCTACCTGTAACTGGCTCAGGGTGGTGACCCAAGTGAGTTAGTATCTTAGGAGCAATACTTGCCCCTCACCCTTAGGTATGTTTAGATAGTGGTCAGGCTGCCGCCAGAAGTTTGAAGAGTGGTAAGAGGCTAGCTGTCAGCCCTCTCTGGTGGAACCTTGGGGAAGATTATATAAAGGTGAGTTGCTCTGCTGAGTTTCCCGGTGTGAGGTGTGGGATATTGCCATGGCTCCTGTCTTGGAGGATGGGGTACAGATTGGTGGGCAAGAAACATAACTAAACAAGCACTGGCCAGCCTGGCCACTTATCTTAGAGCAGGGGTCTTCAAATTTGGCCCTTTTACGACTTGTGGACTTCAACTCCCAGAATTCCTCAGCCAGGTATGCTGGCTGAGGAATTTCTGGGAGCTGAAGTCCACAAGTCGTAAAAGGGCCAAGTTTGAAGACCTCTGTCTAAGAGTTAGATCAGTCACCTCATTTTCCTGTGGCTTACTTAACATAACAATGGAGGATTTTGCATTCTTTATTACTAAGGAACGCCACTGGCAGTCATACAAAAACATAGCGTTGGGCGTGTGCTAAGTACATTGCTTCAAAATGATATAATGAAGATGGCTTGACAAGAAGAATCCTGTGCCACAACTGGATAAGTGGCACAGGTTGTTGTTGCGGCTAAGGAAAAAGGCATCTGCTGGAGGATCCAACTTTTCTTGAAAGCCTAATGCAGAGGTTCCCAACCTTTTGGGCACCAGGGACCGGTTCTGTGGAGAGAGGTTTTTCCACAGACCGGAGAATGCGTGGTTTTGTGTGCTGCTTGCATCCCACAGATGGGCCTTTGCTTGTTTATATGGCCCAGTTGCTGGCATGCCGCGGCCCGGTACCGGTCCACGGACTGGGGGTTGGGGACCCCTAGCCTAATGTATCCTTCACCTGGTTTGCCTCTACAACTCTTTCCACCAAGAGGGACAGTTGGCATGAGTAGTTTTCCCCTTTAGACCTGGATTAAATAGTTTGGCAAGCATTAGAACTGCAGCTGGTTCATGACTACAGTATGAAGGTGTTCTACCAAGGCTTTATCATAACAATTTTAAAGATGTGTAGACTTCCAGCTCTCAGCCACCAACCAGCCATCCCTTCTCAATTCTCAATTGCAAATACTATCCATCTTCCTGGGTTGGTGTTGTGATGGCTATATTAAATTCTACAATTCAGATGGAATTTTGCATGTGATCCCTCGGCAAGACTGGTATTTTAATAATCCCAAATATCTTCTTGTCATTCCTTGAAACAATTCCATTGTCTTTTCCTCACTCCTAATTG